AGAGCGGGCTGGAGCATCTCTTGGTCTAGGGGGGCTTTAGCAGGATATCAACAACTCTCAGAGTCAACTCAAAGCACTCCAGCCACACATACTCCCTTTTAGCTTTGAACGTTCAGGGAAGTTCATTGCTCAAAAACTGAGAAGTGAACTAAAAGCAAGAAAATGGAGTGCCTTGCAAGGAATTTACGTACATCTTGAAAATTAATTTCTTATCCAGTTTTAGCAATTGCTCTTTTTCACGTGGTTTTAAATGGCCAGATAAGATGGCATTAATATCACCAGGAAGGTTTTCCAGGCCATGCAAAGTTTCCATCAGAGACGGAAATTTAGCAATGACCCTACAAATATCTTTGCCGAGATTTAGCATTTTGCTCACCTACAACAGGAGAAGTGTGACAAAATGAGTAGCTACCTCCTCTACTGTATCTGTAAACCCAAGAGCCAGACAGAAGGCAAATTTCAAAGCAAAGCTGACCAAAATTTGCACCATCTCCAGGCACGTTCAGATACTAAGGCTTCTGCTGCTTTAATCACCTTCACTCCCCTTCTTACCTTCTTTCTTCAGAGGAGAATGATCCTCTGCAATTTTTTCCTCTATAAAGGTCATTAGTCAATACACAAAAGTTAAGCGGGTGCTACTGTCATGTAATTATTTATGTGGTATTTGCCAGTGCTGGAAATCAGTAATTTTAAAGCATCTTGTGTTCAGAAACACACACGGAAGCGTGGGCTGTGAAGAAGGCAGCCACTGTTGAAAAGAAATAAACACCAGAATGCAGAAAACACAATTTCCATGCAGATCTTTCCATTCAGGTGCCCTGGACAGCCGTCAGTACAGACCTCTGGCTTTAAGAGCTGTTCACCTTCAGCTACACAACAGTTTTAGGACAAGCTTCAAACAAAAAGGTAGCCACCCAGAAGCCAAATCTCAGCAATAAAGATTCTTCAGATTCTGGGAATACTGGGTCATGCCAGCTAACGAAGGAGCAGGGCTACGTGTGTATTGTTTTGGGGGGAGCTCTGTCCCCCCCATTAATAAATGCATCAACACACAGATGGGCTGCATTAGTCTGGCCCCAAACACTGAGCCGGGAATAAAAGCGGTAATTGTGTGCACAGACACTGACCATCTCTGACCCAGACAAAGATCTCTTCAGTATTTTACTCTGTGCTCCAGCCAGGATTTCAACGGCAGCATCCTGGGAGAAGGACTGCTGCATCACACATATTCCACGTCAAGTATTTTTATGTTGCAGGAGGTGTGGGGGGCAAGCAATAAAGATTGCCAACTTACTGTTTTAACATCGTTAGTACCAATGATTCCTCCGATCTCTCCCAGGTCCTTAAGCAGCAAGTTCAAGATTTCTGTAGCTCTCTTCTTCTGATGGTTACTGAGCTCCTGCAACTGGCCCAGCTCCCGCTGGGTTGCTGTCAGGGCACTCTGAAAAGGTTTAAAAGCAAAAGTTACCCTCCCCTCCGCAGCCTGGGCATCAGTTCTTCTCCAGTATCTAGGTTACATGGTATTGTCTTGTATCTTCCTGAACGTGCCTCCTGGATCAATGTACTGACACGTACAATTCCACCTTGCCGTAATCCACTTTCACAACTCACTTGCTAACAAGGCTACTTTAGATCTATTAAATGTAGTAAATCCTCTAAGAATCTTATTTGCATAATACATGTCAAAGAAGGTTAATCACAGAGAAACAGGTATAGAAGGATATAAAACTCAATTTTTCTCAAATGGATTTCACAGTAATCTGTTTTACTGAGGTGGATAACGAAGTCTTCCATGAAAACAGACCTGTTAACAACAGCTTCCTCACTTTGTGTAATGAATTAAAGAACAAGGACGTATTAAGCTAGTAAGCCAATCTTGATTTTTCTCAGATCAGATTTTTTCCTCAAGCTCAGCACACATCACATTTTCTGATTCCTTCCTTAAGATCTCCTGACTGTACAAAATTCCTGCTCCACAGCGTAGAGTCCAGAAAAAACATAAAACGCTGCAATTTGCATAAAGCAGATTTTCACATCTTTCTTGGCATAATACAGTTTTTAAATAACCAAAACACAGAATGGCCAGTTCTCACATTCAGTTCAGTTGCTGCCGTGGTGTGTAAAATACAGAGGTTGCAACAGAGCCACAATCTGCCATCAGCTTCCATAGAGCAGTTTCTGAATTGCCTTCATTTTATCATTTAATTAAGATAGAAGAGAGAGGGTAGCATCAGCAAATATGGATCTTTTAACAGCTTCCCTGCTACTCCCATTTTTAAACTACATAACAACAGACTTGGCAGCAGTATCTGAAAGAGTCCTGAAATGGCATAGGCTAGCAGTTATCTGGGAACCCCTATGGAAATCTTTAGGGGAGCGGAGAGTTAGGGGGCAAGGAGGGAACCAGCACTATGAACCGCTTGCTCTTACACTCTTCTGTGCCAGCTCGTCAGCCAGCTGCTCGTTGGCTCTTGTTTTGTCCTCCACTTCTTGGGATTTCTGGTCATAATTGACAGCTAATTCTTCCAGGGCTTGAAGGACCTCTTTCACTTCGTCTTTTGCTGCTTCGTTCTCAATCTGAAGACGGGTCAGCTCCTCTTGAATCTTCTCATAGTCTCTCCTAGTGGAGGCCAAAAGCTGGAAACCAGATATCACAGAAGCATTAAGTCACCCAAGAACTCATTCACAGACAACACTGAAAAGGGCAAGAACAGACAAAGAGAGAAAGAAAGCGTGAGCACGCAAGTGTTTCTGTACGAGAGAGAAAGCAAGAGAGCAGAAATCCTGCTACTCTACCAGAAACAGCATCAGTTTCAGCATAAATGTATTTGAAGGAAGCAAAAAAGGCTCTGGACTTCAATGAAAAGAAAAATCTTAATCACAACCTATTATGACACGAGACTGAGGCAGAGAAACTTATTTTAAACAGCATCATAGCTCCAAATAAATTCTCTGCCCTCAATCCAATGCTGCAGCTAGGACCAAAAAAATAGCACAAAGTAAAATGTTTAAACACAGAATCACAGCTTTGAACTGAACCAAGCAAAAGGGCTCTCTGAGGCAGCCTCAAAGATCTTGTGGCACTAGAGGAATATTTTGATAAGCAAACCTATGATGATTATTCTTAGTTTCCAACTGAAGCATGATGCTGAAGACAGATTAGCTGCTCCTATTTGCTGAGGCAAAATACTAACTAAAGAAGAAAATACAGACTTCACGTATACCAGTGAGTATTTCCAATTTGTAAAACTTATTAAATTTACTCCTTGCATGCTACTAGGAGAGATGCTAAAGTTTCGGTGACAGAGCTGATTGTAAGAGGTCAGTTGCACAGTCCTCTCCCTTGCCCTTGCACCACTCCATCTTCATTCAGATGTTAAAGTCTCAAAAATTCAGCTATTGGCTTCTTAGCACAAAACCAGACTCAACAGCAGTACCGTACTGCAGAACGAAGTGAAAATAAATAAAAGGTGCCACCTACCTTGTATTGCTAGTAATGTACTTTTGAGAAGAATAACAAAATCAGGCCTTACATAGCATAAAACCATAAAATATAGAGCAGTAACATATCTAATTTAGTGCATGAGATACAAGAAGGCATTCATGCTCACAGGTCACCCTAGGAGCAAAGATTGGACACTCATGCACAGAACTCACTTATTTCCAAGCCTTCCTGTGTACAGATTAGTATAATATTACTGTACTGCAGCTTTCTGGGACAGTAGAACAAAACCTGCGCTACTCAAGCGTGCTGGGTGGACTTCTCCTGACCTGTCCCACCACTGCCCACTGGCTCCCAGGCCTTGAAGAAGTTGAGTGTGAGACCCCAAACTAAACAGAAACATCTCTCCCAAACGGGCCGCCTAGAAGGAGAAATGTCAGAGAAGACTGCTTTTTTTTGGCTCAGCATGCTAATGGGAAATAGGAAACCAACCAGGCAGCTTCAGACACTGGCACGTGCCCAAAGTGGCGAAGAGAGGATTCAGATGTAAGGGAAATTTATCTCGCTGGTAATGCTGCAGCCTCAGAAGTGCACTCACGTTACGGAAAAACCCACTGAATTGCCAAAGCCAGATGGCATGTAAATATTTAAACAACAAAATAGCTTAAAATAATCTTTCTACTAAACACAGATGGAACTATTATTTACATTTACTTAAGAAAATTTCTGCGTGAATATTACTGTGACTTCAAGTAAAGGGAAGTGTTATATACCACCTAGAGCATAAACACAGCTCCCCAGAAGATTCTTGATACAATGTGGAAAAATATACCAAGATTTTAAAAAGCTATTAATAACACATTATACCGATCAGTTGTAAACAAAGGGAAGGAGACGATGGCCGCAGCACTTTGTGGATCTGTTCACAGCACGCGAGATGCAAGGGAGGAAGATTCAGAATCCCCCCAAAACACACACCCTAAGAAACAGCCAGCAGTGAAAAGGTACCAAAAGATACCAGTATCAGCACAATGCCATCTGTGGCAGGCCTTAGATTTCTAATTAACCTGCTAGCTTAATCAAGCAGAAAAAAGTACTCTGGTTAATTAGGGGGAAGCAGATTGAGGCAGCTGCTCTGCAGCACATCTATCACGGAGCTAATCACAGGCTCTAAGACAGAACAGGTAGATCGCTCCCACAGCGCAGGTGAAGCTTCTATGTGGAAGACAAAACCTTGAAAAATTAATTCAATTCCCTAAAAGAAAAAAATAAAAATATCGAATTAGCTTTCAGAGGTAAGAGATAGATAAGCTTCTTGGATGAACCAGCTAAACCTTCTGAACAAGTGGTGCCAACATCAGCTGCAGAGACTTCAGTAAGTGAGCAAAGCTAGACTAGAACATGTGCAAAAAAGGGGAGAAAGTGGTCTGTAAGGCAAGGATTAGAGACCACTGAAAAGTTGATTCCTCTTCCAGAGGTAATACTGAGTATGAAACACACCGAGGGTGGGGACTAAGCCAGCATACAGCCTGCTCCCAAATATCTAAGACAAAGAAAGGAATGCACATCACCCAAAAAATAAGACACAAGAAAAACCGTGAGGAAAAAATAAGACACAAGAAAAACCATGAGGGAAAAATAAGCTTTAGATGAGAACACTGATGTCAAAAAGATGGGAGAAGTGAGATGGCGTAAATAACACACATCAGAAAATAATGTTGCTGAGAATGCATAAAATTCTTTTACATTTGTATAGCCACAGACATGGGTAGCACGTAATACAGAGTAATCAAAAGAAAGTTGCGGCAAGTGAATGAAGAGCTTAATCATGGACTAAAATAAAGGCGGTAATTCCTTCAGGGAGGAACTGCCACCAAAGGTGGCAGGTAAGTCGTGAGGGATGAGTAGCAGACGTTTTCATACATTGTTCTCTCCCTGCTAAGGAGCCAAACCTTGGAAACCCTTTCTGAGGGCTTGATTAAGGATTAAGGCATGGACAGAATCATTTTTCAATTACAAGAGAGGTTTCACACCCAAAAAAAGCGGCCAGCATAATGCTGTACTCCAGCTGAAGTGGCTCAGGCAGCTGGGAGAGGCACGCTCCTAGGGAATCACGGCAGTGTTTCACGCAAAGAGACCAACACTTTGGAACACTAATGACGGGTGAACTCCCACGCCAGGATTATATTCTTGGTCTGAATGGTCCTCCTCCAGTTTCCTGCAGTTTGAAAACCAGCATAAAACCATCATCTAAGAAATATCACAGCAACATTTGGGGAACTTGGCAATTTGGTGTTATTGCCAGATTTTATATCTTCATGTAAAATGCTACCTCTCGTAAACAAATGACAGGTAAGGAAATGACTTGACCGTAAATTTAGTGATCATATTCCCCATTTTAAAAACAACAAACATTCATTTTATGGACAGAAACAATGAAATAAAATGTTTAAAGTCAGTAATCCAAGATTTTAAAGCAAATCTTTGGCAGCACCAATAATCAATTTCTCCAGTCTCACAGATTTCTCTCACTACTGCCTCTAATTGCCCATGCCAAAATAATGAACACGAGTAATTTATTACCAGGAGTAATTTTTATACTGTCAAACTAGGAAATCTGTTGACTACCTACAGTCTATATAGCGTCTGGATACCTGAAAGGATACAGACATATTGAAAAACACATTGGAAGTGAAAAATACTGGCCACGCTCCTACCTTGGTATCTCCAGCATCACTTCCCAGCAGGAGGGTGTGCTATTATAAGGAGTTATCAAGGCTTAATGCTCTTCTGAGGATACTGTGAAATTTGAAGTTTAAACCTAGCTGTCACACAGGTTTCTCTTACCTATTGAATTTTAGCTGGTTGATATAAACATACCTAGCCAACAACTGTGACAGAATTACTAAACAAGGGTCTCATAAGCAAAACGTAAGGGTTTTTTTTTATTTGTTTAGGTTTTTACCTCCTCTTGATCCAACATTTGTTGCTTTAGTTTTTCAGCCAACTGGCTCTGCTGATTGATTTCATCATCCTGCAATAAAATAGGGTTGGAGATTTTTAGTTTCTTTTCACAGTTCTCGTTTGGTCGCTTTTATTTCCCCTTTCTAGGAAAGAAAGAAGAATAATGCCATAGCAAACCTTGTGCACGTTTGAGTGGTATGAGAGGAGAGAAAAATATACATACACAGAGCTACCTAGTAAAAGCAATGCATACATGCAGCTGTCTCTAGTATATACGTAAGCAGAGGTGGCCCTGATGGTAAACAAGACTCTGATGTGGTCAGAGTTGCACCTTATAACTTGCAGGAGACTTTGCCAACCTATGTGATGTTTTACCGATGTACAAATACATACGCTCCCTCTCTCTGTCCCCAAATTTCAGCGGAAGACAGATCATTAGAGACAGATTTATTAGCCAACTACAATTTACAGCTAGCTCTGACCTGCATTAATGAAAGAGGAAGCTCAAACCACAACACAGAACTTGGACCCCTCAACTGCAGAATTTCGATTTTCCTACTCCATCACAGCCCTTGAAGAAAATACTGCCAGGCAATGCACAGCCAGGCATCCAATTTTACTGGCATTTCAACTTCCTTGTTAAGACAGCATCCTCATGGGTAGGAACTGATTTTAAATATAGAAGAGAAATGATGATGACGCCACTGTACAAGTCCTTCCTCCTAAACGCCACAGGGGGCACACCAAGCACAGCCCCTGAGCAAGTCTGTCTCTGTTCTTGTGACGGATACCCTTCTCTAGAGGAACTCACCAAAGATAAACGGTTGCTTTTTACCCTATCAGAGTCAATCGATATTTTGTGTTTCACCGACAAGCATGTTAACATATTGATTTCTGATAGCAAATACAGCTATCAAGTAGAATACATCGAATCATCTACTGATATTAAAATAGTCCCAGATATAACACAAGAATGGTCTATGCTGCAACAAGTTATAAATGGTGATATTTTGGTTTTGTTTTGGGGATCAAATACCGTCTCATTTCCTATAGTACTGTAGTAATGCACCAAATTATGCTTCCCATGTTTTCTAGGGTAAAACTCAAACCTGCTGCCAGTTCCCTCAAGAATAGTTCAATCGGCTTTGCTACTTTTGATGAGGGAAAGTGAAAGAATGACTAACTTTTTTTCTTTTTCTAATCAATACATAAAAGCTAAAGAATGCTACCAGGAATGTATTCTGCATCACAGAAAAGCTGTAATTTCTTAAAGACCTTAACTGTTATTTTGAATGCCATCAACGTCCTGCTGTGTGCAACCGGACTGTGCAAAGACCTCACGCACATCAGAGTTAAGGCTTAAACACAACTATCCGCTGCTTCCCTCGGTATGCAGAAACAGCCAAACTTTAATATTAACACACAAGGAAACCGGGGGGTTTTCTGATATTTTCCTGCTAATTACAATTGGAAGTTAAAATGCAGTTTTGATGCAAGATTAAAGCTATCCTGAAAACTTTTGCTTTTAAGCTGTTCTCATCCATAATGGTCAATGGTTTTAGTATGCCTTTCCCCCCCCCGCCACTTCTCATCTTCACACAAGCCAAAGCTATTAATGGCAAGTGCTCAGTAAATGTATTGCCGATAGTTTTAAGTGCCAATGATGTTATTTCAAGCTGTGCAAATAAATTTTTTTAAAAAGGCCACCTGCACTCCAGGCAGCGTGCACAGCTAGAACATGAACAAAAGAGACCCAAGGGATGGTTATGTATCTTCCTTAAAATTCTAATATACAATAAATATATAAAAAATCTTCAAGATACAGTCTCCCTTTTAGTTTCCTTTCTCCTGTGACTCTGAGATGATGTTACAGTTTGCTGAGGGAGTACAGTATTTACAAAAATCCCTGAAGAAAAGGAGGGCTGAAAAGACTGTATCGAGCCCTTAAAATGAAAGGCAAACTTGGCTCCGATTTCACAGAGAATGCCCACAAACACTATCTGCAGAGGGAACAGAAGCAGATAGCTGATGTGACAGGACAAGATCTGGTTTTATGTAGTGCTAGTGTTTTGAACTTTGGGACATTTTCCAGTTCATGGTGCTCAAGAAATACAGAGACACCCACTCATTTTGGCTTAGTATTCCATTTACACCCAGAGAATGGAGTCAACCCAAATGTTCACACCTTATCATCCAGCTGTCTGTAGAGACTGGCAATCTCCTCATCATATTTCTGTTTCTCCTCTGTCGAGATGCTGGCAACAACCGGTGTGATGTTGTCAATAATCGGGGTGTTATCACAGGGCTCCAGGTTCTTCTGGTCCTTTGCACTGATCTGTTCATCTTCGGGCACAGCTTCTCCTACAGGCACATAATCCATGGTCATTACAATCCAAGAGAGAGGGTTGCCCAAAACCATGGACATCCTAGGATGGTCCTTCACAGTCGCCAAGAGGGACTCAGCAAAGGAAAGAAGGGCCGTATCCAGCTGTGCAAGGCAGGCGACTGCCACGCATACAAACGATGGGCCAAGCTGGGTGTGGAAGGATGGCCGTTCATTCTCCACGGTTAGAAACACAAAACACGCAAAATGCAGCAACTGTTCGAATGGCTACCTTTAAAAGCACTGAACTCCTGGCTCCCCTTTTCACTCAAGCCCTCTACAGACGGGATTAGCTCCATGGATTAACGGAAGTGTAAATAAGGAGGGAAAAAATCCGACTTTCAGCCTAAAGCCTATCTCTTCCTCTCCAGATTTCCAACTTCCTTATCAACTCTCCTTCCCCCATAATGAACTGCTAGAGCATCAGGACAACAAACGAGGCAGCTGCATTTAAAATGATATTCTCCTTCTGCCTTGTCACATCTAAAATTAAAGAGCATCGACAAATTTTCAGATGTTGCCTATGCATACCAGATAGGATGTTCTCTCTACACATTTTCTTTCAAAATAATTTTCTCCAAGGACTATTTTCTTTGGTAACATCAGTGCATTGCAATTACGAGCCTGCTGCAGTTCAGTGAAGAGGCAGAGGCAAGGCGCTCATGCCAGAAATTGAATCTACTCTCATTAGAGTCTGGTGACAGACTCTGCGAGCAGCTGAATGCTGCACACGTTGCTCAACGTGCAGGAAGGTTGCATCCAACCCTTCTGCACAAACAGGTTTTTTCCATTTCTATGAAAAGCTACAATATTTTGGTCCCATAAAGCTTTACTAGCCATTCCGCTTGCCAAAACAGTGTAAGCACTATTTATCTTAGTGGCAGGGAAACAAGGAAACAGGAGAAATATATCAAAAAACCACAACACAGGCTAATTCAGGCCTCAAAGCAAAACAAAACAGGTCATGAAAGAGCACAACCAACTAACAGAGAAGGTAATTTTTTCAAGCTTAAAGAGTGAAAAAGAATAACTTGAAATCAGGCACCATAACCTCTATAAAAGTACTACGCTCAAAATACTTTTTGGCCTATTAATGGCTTGATGATATTTTATGTCAATAATGAGAAAAATGTAAATTAATTTTTCCTTGTTGCATTTCACTGGAGCAGACTAGGAAAAGCGGGCTCGGTCAGACCGTGGGACCTTGCACACATGGCAACACTGCTCAGGCTGCAGAGAATCCATCAGGAGCCTCCCAAAACGAATCTTAAGGTTTTCTTTTCATTGTGGTATTGCACTTAGCTCGGAAGCTTTGTATGGCAGACTACTACAGGTGAAAGGAGGAGGAGAGCCTAAATTTGATAGAGATGCTTGGACGAGAACAACCTCCTACCTGTAAAACACAGACCAAATTGTGCACTTGGATACAGGGCCACTGAAATCCTGCTTCAGTGAGAACTGGGCACACCCATTTTCTCCTACAATTTTATTTTGTATATTACTTTCTAAATTTATAGAATAAGCTACACCAATGGAATATTTATGCATCTATCTGGTATTTCATATTCAAGATGTAATTTCTGCGATGCTTTCATTTGTAAAGAGCCTCCTTTGACAGAATATCCTTCCAAATGATGCTATTTCAGAAGGTCAGACAAGAAATCAATAGTATTTTGAATGCATTGAATGTATTGCTGGGTAACACCAATGAGAAAAGCAGGACAGACAGTGGGGAAGAGGAGGTGTGTATATTTAGACAATAGAGACAGCATGTTATAAGGCTCGTTTATGTGGCATATAGAAAGGATCTATACAGGTTTTTTTTTTTAGAAAAAAGGTATCTAGAATGGGAAGGAAATTAAAGTCGTCACATTTAGCAAACACAGAATGAAACACGCAGAACATGAGCGGGTTATAAATCCCCAGCACTCCTCAACACCAACAGTAGACCGACCGTCTCCATAGCAATTGCGTTATGCTGATAAGGGAAATATTCCCTGTGCTGAAGTCTCCAGAGAAAGACACGGAGTGCAATCATTAGGTAACGATCTCATCTGAAAGGCAAGTAAACAGCATAGGGAGCTGAATGAAGGAAGAATTTTTTGCACCCATAAAGGTCAGGTATTATCTTTTAAGTAGTGGTTTCACCCAGGATGTTCAAAACCAGACTTGACTGTGCAAAACAAGTTGTGACTAATAATTTAACCACAGAATCATAGAATCGTTTAGATTGGAAAAGACCTTTAAGATCATCAAGTCCAACCGCTAAACTAGCACTGCCAAGTCCACCACTAAACCGTGTCCCTAAGCACATCTACACGTCTTTTAAATACCTCCAGGCATGGGGACCCTGTTCCAATGCTTGACTACCCTTTCCGTGAAGAAATTTTTCCTAATATTCAACCTAAACCTCCCCTGGCACAACTTGAGCCCATTTCCTCTCGTCCTATCGCTTTTTCCTTGGGAGAAGAGACCAACACCCCCCTCACTACCCCCTCCTGTCAGGAGCTGCAGAGCGATGAGGTCTCCCCTCAGCCTCCTCTTCTCCAGGCTGAATCCCCCCAGCCCCCTCAGCCGCTCCCCACCAGCCCTGTGCTCCAGACCCTTCACCAGCCTTGTTGCCCTTCCCTGGACACGCTCCAGCACCCCAATGTCTTTCTTGTACTGAGGGGCCCAAAGCTGAACACTGTATTCGAGGTGCGGCCTCACCAGCACCGAGTACAGGGGCACAATCACCTCCCTGCTCCTGCTGGCCACACCATTCCTGATAGAAGCCAGGATGCTCTTGGCCTTCTTGGCCACCTGGGCACACTGTTGGCTCGTGTTCCAGGCAGCTTTCCAGCCACTCTTCCCCAAGCCTGCAGCGTTGCATGGGGTTGTTGTGACCCAAGTGCAGGACCTGGCACTGAGCCTTGCTGAACCTCATACAGTTGGCCTTGCCCCATTGATCCAGCCTGGCTACATCAATCGCAGGTTTGTTCTCACTTTAGATACTTCACGTTTGCAAGAGTTACATACTATTGAACTGCAAGACACTTCAACACATAGGACCTGGATGACAAGCAATTTAGAAAATAAAAATGACTCCAAAGAGGCAGTATTTTACTGTTTGGGCTTTGCTGGGATTTCAGGGTGCAAGGGGTACGCAGGGTTGGTTTCTTTTGGTTGGGGGGCTGTTTGTTGGTTTTGAGTTTGGGGTAGGATTTTTTTTTTTTTTAATATGTGGAATAAAAAATTAAAAGTAAGGATGGTTTGCTAAAATTATTTGTCAACGTTCCAGATTAAGTAATTATTTAGTTTGTACATATGCATAAAAATATTCTTCCGCCTCTACCATCCTACACTTGATCTTACAACCTACCCTGAACAGCAATTCTCCATGTTTCTAAACAGAAAATTGGCTGTTCTCAACATAAATTTCACTCAAAAGCCACAGAAGGAGACAAATGGTGATTCTTCTAATCAGGTGACACTCCTAATCATTGTACTAAAGGACCAATTATTCTAATGTTAAACTCAATTATAAAAAAGCCCCAAGATCCAGCTACCTTAAAGCATAACAGAACTGATTCTCATGCCTAAGGAGCAGAGTTATTTAAAAAAAAAAACCCAAACATAATGACATTTTACCTTTTCTTTATTAATATTAATAACATGATTAAAAATGACTGATACCTTCCTGTATGATATCACATTAGTTTTGGCATTTTAAATGGTACCTTACATAAATGTCTGCTGCTGGTTTCCCTGATTTTTGCTTCTTCACCTTTCCGTTATTATTATGAAGCGTGAGCTACAACTCTGAATGGTGAGCTAAGTACGACTTTTGTGATTTAAGGCAAGATTTTAACATACATAACTTCAAAATACAAAGACATGTACCCATTCCCATGTTCTGGCACGTACCATTTCTCCACCTGTTCAGTTCCAGCTCCAGATGCTGGATAACATTCTTTAGACTCTTGTTTTTGTCTTTCTCCTTCTCGTACTTTTTCTTCCACTCCTCCGCAGTCAGCTCCAGATTCACAGAGACCGTGTTCTTAATCGTCTTAGCTCTGCACAGCAAAACCAGGTGTCAGTTGTTCTGCAACTTTTATCTCAGTACAACAGTAAGGATTCAGAAATTTTTCCGTAATGCAAAGGGAAACTACTAAACATTTGCAACTTATTTGCTAAAATGCAATGCCACAATTCCCTTTTCTCTCAAACCCTCAGTATCATTACTACCTGGAAGCCTCAATAGAAATTTTTCCATATCAAAATTCAGCAGCCAGTGACCTGGAGCAGACATGGATCTGCCTCTTCAGATTCCTCCAGAAAGAGAAGCTGGAAACTGTTCTTGGGTTAAGGACAAAACAAAGTCCTGTCATTACTGCTCTGCTAGGTAAGCTGTCACCTCACAGCTTCTCCTGGCCTGAGACCCACGGCAGAGTACCCCACACCATCTGACCATGGGCTCGCCCCATCTCTTAACAGTCATCCCTTACACCCCACCAACAACACTCAGCCGTATTTCAAGCATCACAGCGTGAAGGATGTCACCACAGTGAAGCAGAGACATGGAAGCTCATCTTTCTTGAAAGCCAAACAGTGCTTTCAAATACATTTTTGGGGGTGGAAGGAGGAGAACCGCTGGTCACCACCAGGTAACTGGGTTATTGCTGGGCTGAGGAAGGCTGTCAGCGGGGGGGGAGCCTGAACTCGCGCCTGTGCCACTGTAGGCAGGCTCACGAGTTACTGCCTCTCTAGGCAAAAATCACAAAATTTAAACCTTTCTAACAACAACCACCACCACTTTATTATTGTGAAACTGCTTAGCTCCAACTGAACCTAAACAATTGCACTAGAGAATGCAAAGCAAGCAGAAAAAAATGCACAGCACCTACTCTAGCAAATCCACATTTAAAAAGAAAAACCAAACAAATCAGTACGAATTAAGAAAGCTTCGGATCTTTGCCCTTCACTGCACAGACACTGAGTCCCTCCAAATGACTCCAGTGTTACTGAACAAAACAGAGACTAAATAAAGGAATAACACACAAACCTCCTACCGGTTTGTAAAGCATAGGCTCAAATGCCAGTGCAAGAAACTCCGCCTAGGAAAGGGCTACAGATGCTCCAGCTAACTCTCCTTTGGGGAGAGCACATGCTCTTAATTATGTTCTTCACAGCTCCTCTTAATGACGCTAAAACATCCTTTAAATGTGGCCACTCACTGAAGGTCCTGAAAGTTTGTTTTGTCAGCGAGAAAACACTCCTGTATCTGTGCCTCATGCTCCAAATTGCACTCCAGTGATTTGCACTATGCAGCAAGCAGCAATTTTATTACCTTAGAAATATTTAAAAATAACCCTGTACTTTTAAAATAATGCCTAATGGTTAGCTTTTACATATTGTCTCTGCCAAAAGCATGGCTCAAGTTTCCACTCATTTAACTGTACCGGGGGAAAAAAATGCCACACCATAAAGCGTATCGACTGTGTTACCCTAATGATGATTGAAGTACTTACTAGCAACTAAAATTCAAAATAATATAAAAAAAACAAGAAAAGATGGAGCAGAAAGAGAAGAAACTGACTCTCTGACTCACTACTAACAGAGTTAGTACTACTAACATGCACATGTTGATTAGTTTAAGTGGGCCTGTGAAGATGAATTTTACTCCTGACACTTATTTTAATGGCGATATAATTCTTTTTGGCTAGGAAAAATGGAGGAACCAGCAATCACCCATGACTCATATGCCTTCCCTTTAATGTTCTTCAGGCCCTTAATACTGTCACATCAGAAAAATGAAACACCACAACCACAGAGCCTGTGAAAAACCCACTTCCCCTAGACAGCAACATTCTTATCCAAAATGCTGACACTGTGTACGTACAGTATGCACGCTGCTCTGCAGGTCTCGGGCATCACCAGTCCTCCTACTTGTATTCCCTTTCTTATTTCAGGCCAGTCCTATAGCTTTTAAGCAAACAAACAAAACCCTTACAATAAACCCCAACCAAGCACTCTCACAAAGTATTTAGCCATTTTTCCCAGTTCTTTCAGTCCTCAGTAAGGAACGTCTTAAAAACGTTCCTCTTCCTAGAGGAGTGTTGGTCGTGCCACATCACTCCAAGCTCTGCTAGCCAGGATGTGCAGAATTGGTTTGAAAATTATTTTGCCCCAAACACAAAGGCAAGTTTTACCGATGAAAGAGAAATGAAACCAAGAGAAACGTAAACTGAAATAATGTGGAAACTGAACTTCTACACACACACCCTTATGTACCCGAGCACGCGACTTGCCAGAGATCCTGGAGCACTGTTAGGCATTACAGAGCAAACGCAAACCCCTTTTAATCTAGATTAAAAAAATAAAATCATTTTTAAAAAGCTACGCTACCTTTTAATCCCCTTAATCTGAGCTATTATATTTTGCTGATTACATTTTTTTTTACTTCAAATCACACCTGCAGACAGCGAGTTCAGCATAACAGCAAGCAGACTGAAACCTAACACAGTACCTACTCATCTATTTAAAATGAAATGTCCCTTCGGCTGCTTTTCTGCCCTGGAGCCTTATCCAGAATGAATTAGGAACTTTGGGGCCACTCTTCTGTTCTACAGAGGTGAAAGACTCTCACTCGTCTGAAATTACCTGCCGTCAGAAAATTGTATGTGGGGAGGTTTAAACTGTGAACTATCAAAACATTTAAACTTTTACCATCAACAAAACCCGTGCAACTCATTATACTTCAGAGTTGTTAACACTATTTAATTACTGCATCTTAATATCTGCATTTACTCAAAATTTCTGTGACATTATAATACAGGGAATTTCAGTAGAAGCTTCTATCTTCAATAACTTAAACTCATGTTCATCATACGTCAGTGAATTAAAACTGCATAGCAACCCTTACGCCAATTATATGTTAATGACCACCTCCTCCTTTTATCGTCCTTTTCCATAAAAACTTACTGCAGCGACCTGTGAAGTTCCCTTTGGGGAGCTTTTCCCGCATGCTGTTATTTGAGAGGCTTACAGGAAGGACACGCTATAGGAAGCGGAGATCAGAGGAAACGGTGCTTTTTGCAGCTACCTGGCCTTGCAGCACGTGGGTCCCTCCCCACCTTCCACAAATCCCAGCAGCAGATGACAGGGACGAGCTAATCCAAGTGTGGCAGCACTGCCCTCCAGCCCTAACCTGCAGCAGCAGCCCTAATCCGCAGCTGTCCCGTACGAGGGACTGCGCCCAACCGCATCTCTTTGTCCTTCGCCGCCCATCCTGCACTTTTACATACTCTTCTATGAATACACCAAAGGGATCATCTTCCCTCACTAAAACCTACAGAAAGCTCACATTAAAGAATAAAAGTGGGGCAATGAATTAATAGAAGATTGTCAGACTGATCTTTCACACAGGATTTTACTTTCCAATATAAAACGCCCCTTAACAGTGTGGGCTTTGATGCAAAAATTACGCATGGTGGAAAACAAGCCATTTTCAGCCAAAGACAAATTTATTATCATGTACAAACTGTTAAATAAATGATATTTCAAACACTCATAACTTGCTAGTATTTTTTCTTTCTGCTATGACACAAATAAACATACGCAAAACAAAGTGAGACATTTTCCAAACTATCAGAGTTCTCCTCAACTGCAACAAAAGCAGTAATTGTGTAATGAGCCCAACTTATGTTTGCAAATTTTCCAAATGTATTGCATATGACTATTGGCAACGAACACATATGGAAAAGAAATTTTCTCTCTGAACACTTCCACATTTATTTTATCCTTGCTTGTTTCTGAGGACTTGTTCCTAAATTGTTAAGATCCTTTAATCATATAAAAATGTCTGTGAGCTATCATGGTAATCTATCGAAGCTGTCAATATTACACTGGGTCCACATTCTTCATTTTTCTTAAGGGTTAAAAAATATTTTTTGCAACCCTAACAATAATCCCTGAGATGCCACTCAAGGAGAAGACACATCTTAAAAGCATCAAGAGCAGTATCAGATAAAGCAAAACCGAACATTTTCCACTGAGTTAGCCAACAGAAAACTGCCCAATCCCATTATCTTCCCTATAAAATTTCAAAGAACTACTACAACGCTTTATACTTTCTGCATGAAAAATTACCAGAGCTTCTAAGTAGTGCAGCTGCTGGCCAACATTAACGTTTTTTCTGGTACCAGAGGGAATAAAGAGACAGTTTTCTCAAGTTCTCCAGTACTATTTCTGAACAACTCCAGAAACCATAAGCTCCCTATTATAAAATGCCTACTCATCTCGCTCCCCTCGGCACGGCTGGCTCGGAACACGTGGAAGAGCCCGAGTGAGTGTCGCCCAGCCCAGTGCCGAGTAGGACTCACCGCTGTCCAAACATCAGGGTTGACTTTGTTTCTGCTTCATTGAACACAGAAGGAGAACAGCATATCACGATGGTGGTTCTGCAGTTCCCACCCAGGGAATCCTGAAGTATTCGGGTCATTTTGCTGTCTCGGTATGGAACATGGGTTTTCTAATCAAAATACAAGTAAGGGACAAGAACAATTTTTTTAAATAATGATATCATTTATTATGAGATGGGATTATTTATCACGAGAGGACATGAGTTGACAATGACGGGTTTAATGGATTTGAAGCACAGAATCCTAAAGAGTAATTGTTTTGATTGTGCTAAGACTGGATAACCACTCAACTGAAATCACCCAGAATTAGTTTCTTATCTTCAGTAGAATAGCAAAAGTGTCCCTGGTCTGTGGTTGGAAAGCTAATATTTTCTTCTTTCTGAATTGAAATGTTAGCTTATTTTTTTATGTGCATGGCAAAGAAACAGATAAATGAAAAGCCATTCTTCAACAACACAAAACAGGATTACTTACAGTTCCTTCTGCCAAGGCAGATATCACATTGCCTAAAGCGGACAAAGACTTATTGATATTTTTAGCTTCATCAAGAACAGCGCCCTCCGCTCCAGTTTTGCTGACCTACCAAAGAGAGCAGGCAACAGTCAGGCTCAGCTATCAGCAAGCGTCTGTACAAACACAGCTACAATGCAGACAGCGCAACAGTTAAAGATGCTCTTGGAAGAAAAACAAAGCAAGCTTATCCTCAGCATGAAGGAGAATTTTATACGCACTTTTCTGTTAGTGGAAGCCTGTAATGCTTCTGCCTTTCTTCCAGTGTAAGGGCAAGCTCGCTCTTTGTTAAGGGAAAAGCTGGTAAGTCCATGCTCTCCTGAGGACACTTGGGGACCACTTCCAAGCCCAGACTGTCCACCCAGATAGGGACCACCACAGGTATGTTCTCAGGGCATGCTCAGTGACACAGCACATGCCACCAAAGGAGTATCTTGGCCTTGTATTGCGTTTGCACGGACCAAGAATATCAGGGCAGAAAAGGCATAATCTCCCTCATGCAAGGCTTGCTGGCCCACAGACTGGATCCCAAAGTGGCCCAGCCAAGAAGCTGGGTGGCCTGGGACCAGCACTCCTTTACACAGCAACACAGCTTTATAGTCTGCTCTTTTTTCCTCTCTCTCTTTTTTTTTTTTTTTTTTTTTTTGGGGGGGTGTGGGCAAAGAAATGCAGGATAAAGCTATATATTTTTCTCTACACTGAAACTACAGTATCCATACTTTCTTCTAAAAATGCATGCCACATGACATAAAAGGAAACATAATTTTATCTCTTAAGACGACAATCTATCAAGGAAAGCCCTACTTCAGGTTTTCTGTACAATGTCCATATAAACATAGCAAACTGTAGTTTTTGTGAAGTGAATTGTAGTTTTCAGAGGAGAGTAGAGCCTGACTAGGCACTCATTTTCTGAACCCCACTAAGATTTTTCAATCGAAATTAACACTATTAATTACTCTGACGGATGGCTTCCGCATTGTAATGATGGATTATCAACTAGTGTGTCCCAATGAGCATTCTGAAAGCTGCCTACCAAACAAAATCTTGCATTTTACTTCTTGTTTTCAGAAAGAAATAGAAATCTATGCCCACAATGAGAGACATTGCTTTATCACAAGTAATTATTTAATTATTTTGACATGCACAGTAGTTACCAAGGATCCAGCTTGAATAAAGGATCCATAGCGTTGCAAAATGACGGGGTTTTAAATTCATTTATTTCATTTACAGTGAAGCCATTTTGAACACCACAGAAAGTGTTAGAATTAGAACTGAGGAACAACTTTTTTCCCACTGCAGTACTGTTCTAGACCATTACTCTTTTGATAAACAGATACAAGTTCTTTTCTGGTCAGTATTTTTCTATATTGGAAAGCAGAAATAGTCACTACAATCAAGATGGTCATTCAGGGAGCTTCAAATAGATTTCACCTGTATAACTGCATTAACTGCTGTTATTTCTTTGATCTAATATGTGAAATAATTACAGAAAACCTAGAAATAGGATGTGTCTGAATATAAGCAAATTAAAATAGCAGTCTAATACAACAAATTACATAAAAATTGTATTACTTTATTCAAATACCCATAACTAAATGTGAAGCTCCATAAAAGTAAACTGGTTCAATTCACTGCATTATAAATGCATTAAAAAAAAAAATTGCCATACTAATGATAACATGAGATAAGACTTCTGCAAAACTTCTGTAACTATAAGTAGCTTAGTTTGCACTGACACACATTCACATGATCGGTTCAGTGATCCCGTTAGGATAATTCAGCATCTTAGAAAAAAGGGAAGATCACCTTCTCGCTTCCAGCCAAGTCTACCAGGTAAAGCTTTCCACTGAGTTTCTTCTCAGTTTCCACATTCTCTTGTTTAATATTAATGAGGAAGATACTGTGGCTCCTAGAGCTGTGTTCATTCATATCTGCAATCACATTCGAAAGGTTTTGTTTAAATGACTTTAAAACCTGTCAAGAAATTGTATTTCATCAGAGCTAGCCTATGGCTAGCAAATTCAAAAGTACGAGTCCCTTCACAGGAGAAGCCCAGACCACTGTGCTCTGACAGCAGTGTCTACGCCAAGAGCTGCAAATAAAGCTCATGGACTACAGAATGAGCTCCTACTTTCTCCCAACGTGACCAAATTAACCAGATTCATGATAAATGACGGCCTTGGGAAAAAAGCTTTTTTTTTTCTTTTTTTCTTTTTTTGAAAGTGGTTTTTTTTTTTTTTCCCCGGAGCAATAAACTTTGACCAGAAATAGTAAAAAATAACAAACAAATCATAGCATAAGAATAATAAAGTAACATTGCACAGATACAGTAAGAAATAAAGGTTCTGTCCTTTTCTGCTTCTTCACAAGTATAGACAGCTCACACAAAAACCAGCTGTGATATAACAGACACTATTTCGACATAAAACTACAATGAGGATGTTTGTTCAGCATCCTGGACAGAGCAATAATTTTGAGCTGAGCAAGAGAATTTACAGAGAAGTAACAACTGCAATAAAAAGAAGCTGGGCAGGTCTCAGTGCAATTGTGTGAGCAGATGTCCCAACATTTTAGCAAAAGTCTTCATCAAAAACACACTATTTAAATTAAAATTTCAGAGTGATTTTTATTGCTTATGTGATTAAAAAATCCTCCTTCCCCCAGGTAGTTACAGTTTCAGCTTCCACTTTCTCTAAGTTTGATTGTAACCATGTCATGCTTGAAGTTTCATAAAGTAGCAAAAAGAAAACATTAAGAACCAGTAAACCACTTCCTCATCTGTCTTCTCTCTTTTCTCTGTTACTTTAAAATCCACTACCACCTTTCCCCATTCCCATTCAAAGCAATGTTTATATTCATCTGAACTCCCTTTTTCTTCTTCATCTCCAAACTCAGTTTTTTTCAATAACATTTCCAAATTTGCTCCTCACCACTTCAGTCTAGGTAAAACTCATTCTCTGTCAACTTTTGTCAGAACTTTTCTGTGTGCACCAAATGCAACAGGCCGTATCATAGCGAAAGGTATATCTGGGTATTTTTTGTTGAAGAGAATAGCAGAAACAACAGGAGGAAACGTTACTCAGAAAAAAGAGAATGCATTTCTATTAGAATGATGAGAAAGGCATGGGACAGCTAAAGCAATACAGTATTTACCAAAGCAAGAAGGTAGAGACATGGAAGAGAAAGAAGTTACCCATCATAAAAAATAGAAAATAAAATAAAATTACAACAACAAAAAACCCCAAACAAACCCAACCCCCACACACACCCCCAAAAAACCCACCCCACCACTAAGACCTGAGTTACAAGCTGAAGTTCTGCCAAGCTCGCTGCTTGGAGCAAAGACATCTTACAGTATAAACTGGGGAAAAGGGCAGAGATACCTGCCCTTCTTATCACTGTAATGCTAGGAGGCTGCATGCAACATGGAATCACAGAATCCTAGAATCATTTAGGTTGGAAAAGACCTTTAAGATCATCCAGTCCAACCATTGACCTAACACTAATGTCAACAAATTTGGCACAGGCTGAAGCTATCATTATGGTTTTTAATTCAGGAGGATTTGTTTGCTTTGCCATCACTGGAACTCATTCCAAGGCACTGCTTCACTGGGATAACTTGCAAGAGAGAAACAGGCAGAGTCTAAGAATTGCTCTGCAGTCTTTGCCTGCCATTTGACCAGTGAATTGCTCCGAGTTCTTGACTTGTAGCACAAAGAAGAATGTACGTGCATAATTTCAGTTATACATAATTTCAAAATATCTATACCACGTGTAACAATACATATTTTGACTTTTTATATAACAATACTGTATGCTGCCATATATTAAATTCAGGACTTCTCAAAGCTGAAAGTCAATCAATGTTTCTGTATGCAGTGAAGCGGTAAAAAAAGTACAGCTCTATTAATTTTAGAGTGTTATAATCTGTGCATCATTACATCATTCACACAAGTAACTCAAAGTACTTTGTGAACATGAAGAATCAATACCCCAGTAGGAAGCTACAACCACCCACAGTTTGTAGGCAGAAAAGCTTCCACAGAATACTTACTCGTAACGGCTACATGACGGTTAGCTTTCCCTTCATCAATGACATCCAAAACTTCTTCAGGACTAGATACAAATCTTTCTGTACAACCCTAGAAATATGCGAATTGAAAATAGAAAAGTTTAGGAAGTGTCCTAGTACTCCAAGTGCCATCAGGAAGAATATTTAGCACTGATGAAGAAAATATTTAGAAGAACCATCAACATCCAAGATGATCATTAAGCGAGGCAATGGACCAAAACATGCCTTTTTATGACTTTCAAGAGGGGTCCACAGGATAACCTGAGAGATGATTTTCTTTCACAATATTAAAGACTCGGTCAAATACAAACATGCAGCAGAAGAGAGGTTCTACACTTAGAACACATGGAATGATACAGGATATATTCCTGTTACTAATTTGGGCTAGATTACATACCCAATTTAGTTTTTCTCTCTCAAACCAGAAGACAAGATGCATAGTCCTTGTTCTCTGCCTTAATGCAATATTGCTGAAGGAATTATTTTATCAGGTTGTTTTTTTTTTTGCCCTCCCCAGGATAAGAATAAACAGAACTACATTATACATATATTATTAAGGCTCACGCATGTTCATAACAAGTATATTACATTTTAGTGAGGGCCCAGGAAGTCATAATCCAAATTCTTAACCCAACAAATCTGTTCTAAAATATTGCCAGATTACAGCATCTATGCAACAAAATATGAAAGAACAAAATTCTTCAAGGTGTTCTCTTTCACGTCTGACACAAAATGGGAATATGCATACTTAAAATTGAACACCATACTAACAAAAAATAATAAATGTTTAAAGTCAGGAAAATAAAGCAAACATGATTCAAGCCTGTTAATATTTCAGGAAACTGTTTAAATTCAGGGACCAATACTACTTGAACATTCAAGACTCTGTACGTGAGTTGAATCATCTCAGCAAATGCACTGGGATACAAATGGAAATGTGTAAATAAATGCATATGTGAGAAAGAATGAAAAGATGAGCATCAACTTTTCCTTGTACCTTAACATATGGGACTCTGTTTTTATCTTCATGTACAGCGAGGTTTGTCTTTGACACTAGGAAAAAACACGGAGATCATTAGGAATATTCCACAGGTAATAATGTCTCAACTACAGGCATGAGAGACAAATACTGTGAACGTACTGTGTTTGTAAATGAGGACTGTATCGCTTCCCACTGCTTATTAGCTACCCATATTTCTGTTACGTAAAACTTGTTTCTTGTTCTGTCAATCTCGTACCTGTTTCCTTAAAGTTAACTTTCTGGCACAAGCGCTTTTGCTTATTGCTTAGATTAATAAAATAAGCACAGACCAAGTTGGATTTTGCCAAAGCAGCAAAAATTTCAAAAGAAACAGAACTCCTCACTGGAATTCAAAAAAGCTCAAATACATGTTCCTAGGTTTGTGTTACCATTAGCATACATTTCCCCATCTTCAGACTGATGCAACACACACATTTCACGCTTTCACCAACATACAGCATGCATACACAGAGACACAAACTGTAAGAGACAGGTAACTCCCAACAAACTCTACCTAGCAGAAGCAAAGCAAGGAATAAGTTGAACCAATGTATTTTAAATTTAACAAAAACACCTCAACAGAACACAGTTTTACTTTAAGAATATACATTGCCAGCGAGGCTCAGACATGCCTTAAAGTCTCTAAAATTCTCTGTACTCACTGCTTTATAATCAAGCTATGTAGCACTGCAGAGGTAGGCGCATGAGAGTCAGAGATCAGAAGACTTAAACTGCAAAATTCCCTTTCACAAACCCCGTCATACAGCTTAAATTCAAATGACTCTCAAAGAAACTGTTTCCCCTTCAGCGTTGATTCAAAGCACTATACCAAGCCCAACACCACTTAGTCACATAAGAAACGCAGAACTTACCATCAAGTAGGTCCCTTATTTTGTCCAAATATATCTCAAAGTAGGAAACCTAATTAAGTAATCATAAATATTACAGATTTAAACTTTGGCAGTTTAAAAATCTCTGTACCTATATTTCCGTATCTGTCAAAATAAAAAGCACCAAACTAAAAATAAAATCTACCTCCCACATAGTTTGAATCACATCTTTTATGTGAAAAGTATTTATCTTTTGATTGATTTCCATATCATTGATTTTTCTCCATTTATCCATGATTCATCAGGAAAGTATACAATAAACCTTCGGACAAATCTTCTCTTCAACATTTTTTTTCTTTGACACAGAAATATTGAACAGAATCAAATCAATTCAGCTAGTACCATATCAGCACAGCTGCATCACGAGGAGAGTAAATTTTGACAACTGTAAGAGGCACACTGATATTCACCAGCACAAAAGCACACAGCGTGTTCAGTGGTTTAACAGACAAGTTACACAAGCTTAAGCAATATAAATTAAACTTTTAAATGAAGCATATGTGAAAGTTCTGTCCTGAATCAAGTCCCAAAGAGGAAACTGAAAACGGGCTTTTCTGTAACAGAGAGAGAGACAATTGTCCTCCAAAAAATCCCCAAAAGATTAAGGAGAGGGAGAATGAATGAATGCCACTCTAAATAAAAGGGTATTCGACTCACAGAAGCACACAGAAACATGTTAGGGGGCCGATGCCTAACCGTACCCGAAACAAGCTTTGTCCAGGGATTATTTAGCTAGAACACTTGATGGCTAAATTCTAGGTTATCAGTAAACTCTAGCTATCTAGTAAAGTATCATTTTCTCTCATGTGAAAAATAAATTACATCTATTTTTTTTATACTGACGAGTTGATCTTCCTATGTGACAACTGCTATTAAATACAGATGTGTTTTGCTTTTGTGCAGTGACTTCACCCGTGTCCCATCTAAAGCCATCCTCTCGACCAGCTCATTTCAGCAGCCCGGTTCACCCCGAATTAACTCACGTGCTTTGTATTATCCTATTAACCCACTGCTGAGGACCAACCCACACAGGAGATACCAAGTTCCCCTCCCTGTTCTAAACGGGTCTCTATTAAAGAGGGAGAGAAAAAAAACCCTATATTAATTTTCAATGTTGGCTCAGTTATTAAAAGAGTGTGACAGTTTGGTTAAATTCTTGCTCCCAATGACAGAACATGCATTTCTCTCAATGACAGCTCCTTGTATAATCACTCATTCATTGCTATTTAGGCAGCTTTTCTGTTAAGTTATTAATAAACGTTAACTATGATAGGAAACCACTGAAACAATTCAGTGCTGGCAGAAGATGATTTATCAAGTGATAATCCTCTGCCGGGACAGGAATTTACTACATATTGTACAAGGGGGTCCCCATCTGTTGGTATCCAAGTGCTATCATGTAGAATAGCAACAGCCACACGAGAGCTTTACAGATGATGAAAAGAAATCAATGTCACTCCCACGGAAGCCATTTCAATGAAAATTCAGAGGCGCCTCTTCTTAAGCAGCTCAATATTTTACAACTAAAACATTATTCAAATATGTATATTTAAATATTTAGATGGTTTATTTGCACTTTGTATGTCTGCTGCTTCTGTCTGTACTTCATGAGCTCACTCACAGAGGCACTGCTAAGAAGGCTCTCGGTACAAAATGACCTAGTCCTTCCAGCAGATCGGTAACTGGTTCAGAGGTGCTCTGATTACTGGGGGGAAAAAAAAAAAAATATATATATATATACCGCCAGAAATGCTTCAAGGGCTTTAATACAAGCAGCACTAAGAAGTCATTCATCTCCAGCTTTTAGGCACAAGAGGGACAGAGGAGGAGAGCTCCATTCTCAGAGAGCATCACCTCGTCACAGCAGGAGAGGGGACAGTGTTTTCACACTCTACCCATGCTCACTACGTCCCTCTGCTGAAGCTGTCCAGGTATATTTTGTGCGGTTTGGGGGAGGGATCACACAGAGGAGCACCCATTTTTCCTGCAATCCATAGGGTAATTTTACTGATGTCCACTTAGAAGAAAGCTGTACCCTGACCCAACTCTGCCAGATGGACCGATGCCCCCATGGCTGAGCACTCCCCAGGA